TCCGGCCCAGCGGCCCCAGGGCGCCCGCCAGCTCGCCCGCCGGCCCTGTCTCACCTCGGCGCCCGCCAGCAGCAGCCGCAGCTCCTGAAGGCTCTCGTTGATCCGCGCGCGGCGCTTCTTCTCCACCAGGGGCTTCCGGGCCTGCGGGAAGCGGGCGACTGAGCCCAGGTCCCGGGCCTCCCGCCCGCCTGCCCCCCTGAGGCCCCGGCCCGCACCTTGCGGTCCCCCCGAGTCTCCCAGCCGTCCTCATTCTCCCGGCTCGCACGGTCCCGGCCGGGCGCCAGGGGCGGAGCCATGACCCGCACCGCCCGGAGCGAGGCGAGCGCGACGAGCGCGACGAGCGCGATGAGCGCCCGCGCCCCTTGCCTCGCTCCGCCGGGGCAGCCGCAGCCCTCGCTCCTTCGCGTCTTCCGCCTGCCGCGGCCCCGCCCCTTTTATAGCATCTTATTTGCATCTCAATGCACGGATTGGCCGCGCGGGCCCCGAGCCGCGGCCAATGGGAGCGGCGCGCATTGTCCGGCCCGGTCGCCGGAGTCGGCGGGCAGCTGGTGGGGCGTGGTCGGCGGGCGGGGCCCCAGCCCTGCCTCCCCGCAACCCCAGCAGCTTGGGGCACCCGAGGGGGCGGTGACCCGGAGAGCGGCGGCCAGGGCTGCGTCTGTTGCCCTCCCTACCTGAGCAAGGCCCCCAGGTCTGCTGTGCGTGGGAGCAGCATTCATTCAGTCACACTTGTCCTAGTTCGTGCAAGGTGCCTCCCGGGAGGAGCGCTCCTGCGCGAGTGTCGGGGTGCTGGATTCTGTAGGGCAGAACCACAGTCAATGCCGCGGTCTCTAGACCTGGAAAGGTCTACGGGTCCGGCTTGGGATAGCTGCGGAGCCCCGGGGAGATGGGGGCCCACGGGGTAGCGGCGGTGGCAGCGGCCCTATGGCTCCGTTGAGTTTCTTGCGCATCTGTGGGTCGCGACACCGGACTCGACCCTCGACACCGCCCTCCGCCCGCGCGGGGATCCTAGTGGGGCGGGGTCCGCCGGCCCGCCGGCGCAGCCCCTCCACCAGGCGCTCCTTCTCAGGTCACCCTTCCCCCGCCCGCCCCTTCTTCCCTGGTACCACCCCCCCCACCAGCCGCCCATTCTCTTCTAATCATCATCGCTGTCTCTCCTGAGCTCCCCATGTCCCCCTAACCCCCTTCGCTCCCTTGTCCCCCTTTGCCCTCCCTTTCCCTCCCAGCCACACCCCGCCCCCCGCCCCTGCGGTACATCCCTGACCCCCTCCCCACCCTTCCCTGGTCCTCCTCCCGCCCACTCTTCCCGGTCCTCCCCGCTCCCCGCTAGTCCTTCTGTGGTCCCCACTCCTGTTCATTCGCCCCGGCCAGTCTCCTTCGTCCCCGGTTCCCCGCCCCCGCCCCGTCCTCCCTCGGCTCCCTTTCCCTCCCAGCCCTCCCCTCACCAGATTCGCATAGGCCGCCGTCTGGTCCCCGTAACTTGATGCCCATGACAGTTGGCAGCTGCAGCCGCTTCGGTGGAGAAAAGCGGGGGCCGCGCCAAGAGCGACAGGTGTTGGCCGCGCCTTTGTCTAGGCCCGCTTTGTCTGGCGGCGGATGGCGGGTGAGCCTGTGTCCGCCAGACGACCGCCACCCCCACCGCAGGCCGCCCATCTGCCAGACTGGCCTCCCTTCGGGTGGCGTGAGTGGGCGGGGGGCCGCGCCCTTGGGCAGCACCCTGGGGACCGGCGCCTGTTTCCTGCTCCACTGGCCTAAGTACACTTCACAGCGCAGCCAGGCTGGAATGGCAAGATGGGCTCTGGCCGCCAGGCCTTCGCAAAGACTGAGCCTGCCACCTGGAACCCTCTTCAACACTCCTCCAAATATCTATTTCCTCACTGTTTAGGTCTCAGCTTCCCTATTCCTCTTGCTCTTTTTGGTGGGAATGCACCTGCCCCGCAGTAGCCCTGCACCCTTACCCAGTCCTGCACTACTCACCAGGGATTGGGATTGTCAGGGTTTGGTCCACATCCCTCCAGACCATAAGCATCTCTTGTCAAGGTACCTACCTAGGACCTCCTATCTACCTCCAGCACAGAGCCTGGCCTCAGCAGAAGCCTGGGTGGGTAGGGAAGGTGAGGGGATGTCCCAAGCCTGGCTGGAAAGCAGTAGGGGAAGGAAACATCCAGGGACTGCAGTGAGGTGGGTGGTAGTACTAGGCCACAAATATGCCCCACCCCAGCCACCTAAGATGGATCTTACTCCCTGTGACTATTTCACTTTGGGCTCCCCACTAGAAGGACTTTTACAGACAGGGTGAGTTTGGTAAGAGGTTTGGCGTTTCCCAAAGTCACCTCACTGACGTCTATCTATAACTACCGGAGAGTTTCTTCTGTCGATTTTCACCTCTCATCACTCAGCCTCTTGTTTGCTTTTCTGTGAGCAGGCTTCTAAGACCTTCCCAGCCTAGCATTGCTCATCCAGGTAGAAACCTACTCCTTTACTTCAGTCATCCCCTGCTGTTCTCAGTACCCCCTGCATGCCAGAAAGCTCAGGTCTCTTCCTTCCCCCTCCCCTGGCTGCTCAGAAACCCAACTGCCCTTCTCCCCTTACTCCTAGTGGTGGGGCTGACAGGGGAGGGGGCTCAGTGTGGACCCCATGAGAGCCCATAACTGGTCTGTGACTTTACTCTTCTTCACCACTACTTAGGGGAAGGAGACCCCTAAGTAAGTACAATTAAGTTTCCACTACTTTGAGAATCTGAAATATGAAAAAAGAAACTCAGTGATATTTCTTGTAGTCTGATGTGTATGCCTCCCTTTACCCATTGTATTATTTGAACAAAGCCAAACAGGTATTTTAGAGTGCTCTCCATCAAAGGCAGTTCCTGTTGGAACAGGATGGTCAGTGCCCCGGGGGAGGCCTCTGGGAAAAGATCAATAGAACACTTGATTGGTTGGGGCATGGGTATAGGGAGGAAGGCATGATAAAGGTGAATAGTGCAAGCAAAAAATGAGAGGCAACTAGGAACTCCAGGAAAAACAAAAAACTCCCCCCAAAGAGAAATGTAATCTCAGCACATTGACTGACCTAGAAGCTAACAGTTCTTTCACAGTCACAACAATGTAACACTGTTCATGAGGTTTCAACATTTAGAATCAATCTATAGAGAAGGCAAGGAAGACTTATTATGGTTATGGAACATGATATAAAGTTGACTTTGTAAAAACAAAAGGATAGGTAATAGCTGTCAGGAGAAGGGAGGAGGCTGAAGGGAGGGATAGGGACCTCAAGAGTCTCGTCTTACATGGGAAAGTGGGGTTTGAGGAATGCTGTCTACAGAGTTGAAGGAAGGAGAAATTAAGTGCGAGATAGTGTGACCAAGTACCCCGAGGAAAAAAGGCATAAGGATAGAGCAGGATATTCGGAATCAATAAGATCTTTGGTTGAACCAGAAGTTGCCCAAGGCCCCATCTTTGAAGTGCGCCTCAATTTCCCTTAGTGCATCCATTGGCTGGCTGGGTTGGCCTTTTCCTCCCAGAAGCCTGGTTGTTCCATCTCAGGGCCACCCAGCCCTCTCTCCCTCCTTTGCACGACCTCCCCTAGTGGACCCATTTCCTGCCATTTGTCTCTTGGACTGATCCTACCTTCAAAGGTTGCTTGAGCACAGACTTCCTGAGCATTTGGGCCCTTTGATCCCCCAAGATCCAGGAACAGAGGCCTGCAGAGGCTGGGCAGGGCTGTGGTGGCCACAGGGGGACCAGTTAGCGGCAGGGGTGGCAGGCCATAAATCCCCAGGGAACAAAGGCAGCAGCCAGCCAATGGATGTCCAGGTCCCTTGTAGGCAATCAGCCCAGAAAGCTTGGTGAAGCTCCTTTTGGTCTGGAAATAAAGGGGGGGTGCCTTTGGGGTTATATGGTAAATAAAAATGCAATTAAGAGTCCCCAGTGGCACTCAGTTTGGTGAAACAGCCATATCTGGCCATTTAAGGCCAGTTTGCAGAGGCTTCTATACTCACTGGGAGGACTTTGCCTTTGTCTCCCCACCCCCACCCCGTCCCCCCATCACCACCAGGCCAGGAGGCAGGGAGTCAAGCCCTCCCTCCTGCTCAGGGAGCTTCTGGGAGGCTGGCCACTGGATTCAGGATCCATTCATCTCCTTGCTCGGTTCCCCATGGTACTGGCATGAAAAGTGGGAGGAGGTTGGAAGCAAGAACTCCCTTTTGGACCAGGCCCCGCAAGTCTTCATCAATGTGGCAAGAACTAGGCGTCCCAGTGGGGTGGGGGGATTGTGCGGTGCTGCCTCTATGGTCTCTGATGGAGACATGAGGCCTCTCTGGCTGGCATCCTTCTGACCTCTGCCTTCAGCCCCATGGCCAGCATGCCGCTAGCTAGCCCAGGAGGAACAGACAACCTCGGGCAGGGCACAAAGGGAACAGAGTAGGAGACTGGGGCCACCTCAGAGTGGACAGGAGCTGGGAGCTGAGTCAGGCAGCCCCCCCACCCCCCGCATCTGCAAGTGAAAAGCCCATGGGAGCACTGGATCACAGGATTAGAGTTTACATTTTGTGACTTTCACATCCTAAGAGTTCACTGGGCAGCTCTGGCAGCGTGTGTGATGAGGGTGCGCGGAAGAGAGATGCCCACGTGCACGCGCAGGAAGGGACCGGCTGTGCAATGGAAGAGATGAGGGAGCGCTTGGTGACAGACGTGTCCCTCACACAGCATTTCGGAGTTCTTTTTTCTTTTTTTTTAATCTTTTGGTCATCTTTGATCTCTATTGTTTTTGCTCTGTGCTACATTAAGAATATATACAATTAACAACAAAAATATACTTGCTTTATTTACCAATTTTCTAAAAAGCAAAAACAGTCATAAAAAGACACAAGCAGTAAACAAACATATTGCACTGGGTGAAGAAAGTTTGGTTTGTGCGTGAACAAACCACTTGTCCGGCAAGGCTTACCAGGTCATTACACAGACTCTGAGAGCTTATTTACATGTCTTTTTAGGAATAGATTAAAAAGAAGGCTCAGTTTAAAATCGAGAAAAAAAGGTTTTATAACCCGCGTAAGCACACATACTAAAGGAAACACGTCTCAATGCATGGCACCGTGTAAACAATTTCACAAAATGCTCCTATTGTCAACTTCTGAGCACGGGTTAAAGCTATGCACTTAACAATCAATGAGCACAAATCATGTAATAAAATAATGCTGATGGTAAACATTCATAACAGTGGAAAACGTTTTGACAGTTGATGTTCAGGTGACATACATGTGACCTTGACTAGCATCTAATCCCTTAATGATCGGACTTCAGAGGGAGGAGGCAGGTTCGGAGGCATCTATTCTCCACACAGACGCATAGGTTATCACCTCATTTTGGGCATCTGAAGGTGCTGTTAATTTACAAACAATTAAAAAAAAAAACACCAGTATTCTTACATTTCAGCTTATGAGAAATCGGATTAATATCCAAACGTAAGACTGAAAACCAAGCCATTACAAGGAGGCTTTATTTACTCTAGCAGCCGCTTCTCCATCAGAGGACAGGGGGAAGCCCGCTTTCTTTTCAGTTTCTGCAAACTCGACCCGATTTTAAGTCAATTGTTTCACCTGTGGTAACTTTCCATTCACTCCAGGGACCAATATAGCTTTTCCCCAAACAATCTTTAGGATACATGATGCAGCATGAGGTTTTGTAAGGAGATGTGCAGACTGGCCTCACTCTTCCCCAGGTGTCCCAGTGACCAGACGGTGCTGGTGACGCTAGGACCATCACTGCAAGGACTGGAAACTGCCCCGAGTGAGGTCAGGCTCATGAAAAGAACGAGGGCCAGCGTCCCAGCCCAGGGTGAGGGGAGAGGCGA